TATATATATATATATATATACATGCGTGTGCGCGTCTCAGTCTTTGATTTCCTACGATTAAAAATTGTCGAGTTTGACGTGTTTCAAAGTGTTGCATTCGAATGAATAAATTGGGCAACGTACGATTTAGGAAGTAACTTGCGAAGAATTTTATGTTGAATCGATTTTAATTGTACGCGCGTAGACGTGCGAGCGATCGACCAAGATTCTCGACGGTGCGACAACGGCCGATTTAGCTGAGATTGAACAGATCGTGAAGGAAAGGATGGTGAGTGTGTTGTTAAATCATAATTGTTGAATTATATGTGAAATTGCAATTGGCGACGGGCTATCCGTCAGGCTAGCTGCTATATCACGCGATAACACGACATCGTTACAGGAACAACATACGGAAAATCAAGAGAGACAAAGCCTGATGCGTACGCCCAGTGGTAAAAGTTCGAACGTTGGTATCGGTGGGGATGACGATTGTAACGAAGGTAACAACCTCTCGACTGCGATAATTATCGCTGCCACGACGATTGCGGGGACGGGGACGGGGACAAGTGCAAGTACGACAACGACAACGACAACAACAACGGCAACGGCAAAGGCAACGGCAAAGGCAGCGACAACGAGCAGTAGTAGTGGTAGTAGCCCGATTCGTGTGAATTTGGAGGAATGCGACGTGGAGAGTGCCGCACTGACGCAACGACAGTTCGTTATTCGAGAGCTAGTGGAGACGGAGAAAGATTACGTGAACGATCTGAAGCAAATAGTCGAGGGATACATGTCGTTGATGCGAGATCCCGAGTCTGAGGTACCGTTGCCGGACGACTTGCGCGGTGGAAAAGATAAAATGATTTTCGGCAATATAGAGGCGATCTACGAGTGGCACAGAGAGTAAGTCTCTTTTTCCTTCTATCTTTAATAGTTGTCGCTTCTTTTAATTGGTTGGTTGGTTGGTTGGTTCGACGCGCCTGATTTGTTCGATCTGTGTGCAGTTTCTTTCTGAAGGCGTTGGAACGTTGTCTGGAACGGCCGGAAGAACTCGGGCCGCTGTTTAAACGATACGAGAGAAAGTTGCACATGTACGTTGTTTATTGTCAAAACAAACCAGTCTCCGA